GCTCGGGATCAAGCAATCCAGTACCAAACGCGGCCGCTACCAACAGTTCGCATCCGCATGGACGACATTGGGGAGCTGACAGCTCTGGTGAATACCATAATGCAACACACGGCGCTGCTTCGACGCCACCCCCATCTCCTTCCAGCCTTGGACCGAGCCCCTCTGCGGCCTGGGCGGTAGTGTATTACCTGTCGGTGCACTGGCATTCAGCTCCAAACTGCAGCCAGGAGCAAATTCCTTGCAGCTGTTCCAGTAATTAAGCACTTGCCCAATGATTTGGTCTTGGGAGTGGACTATCTCCTCTCTGGTGACGTATCTATTGTGATCTAACGTGCCGGAGTCTTCTCTTCGTCCATCGGCCTCGGTTTGAACTACAGCAGCAACAACTGCCGGTAAGTCTGATGTACCAACTACTCTTACCTCAGTGCTCCAACGACACAAAGCAAGTTTTGCGGAATGTACATCGCAGCTACCCGGGACCGGCCTACTTGAACATAGCATACCAACAGATGACCATGCGTTCATTTCTATACCCCTACGACGTTACGCCTAACGCGATTGAGTCGTCATTGCCAAACAAGTGCTGGCCGCTGTCGTAATTCATCCCTTTTCTAGTCCCTGGCCCGCACCCGTCGTTCTAGTCCGGAAGAAGAATGGCAGCCTCAGGTTTCGTGTCGATTATCGGGAACTAAACAAGCACACTATTCCCGATTCATACCAGCTACCGCGCATCAATGTCGCCATAGACAGCGAAGAACATTCTAGGTTTTCTTCATCACTTATCTTTGTGCTGGATATTGGCAAATTAACTTTGGCGAAGACGACAAGGATAAAACAGCATTCTGAACACCTTCCGGGTTCTACGAGTTAACGCATGCCTTTTGGGCTGCGAACAGTGCCAAGTACATTTGATTGATATGTGGGGTCTAACGTCCCAAAACCACCATATGATTGTGAGAGACGCCGTAGTGGAGGGCTCCGGAAATTTCGACCACCTGGGGTTCTTTAACGTGCACCCAAATCTGAGCACACGGGCCTACAACATTTCCGCCTCCATCGGAAATGCAGCCTCCGCAACCGGGATTTGAGCCCGCGACCTGCGGGTCAGCAGCCGAGTACCTTAGCCACTAGACCACCGCGGCGGGGCGCCAAGTACTTTTCAGCGCGCCATGAATATTGCCCTCAGCACATTGAAAGAGCATGCTTGTGTCATTTATCTGGATGACATATTGGTTGTGGGCACAACAAAAGAAGAACATCTTCGAAACTTGGACGAAGTCTTCCAAAGGCTATTTGATGCCGGATTTCAATTGAACCAAGAAAAATGCTAAGTTCTCTCGGACACAATCTCTTACCTGGGACACGCCATTTAAGCAGATGGTGTTCAACCTTTGCCTGAAAGAGTAGCAGAGCAACCTTTCCTATGCCAATGAGTTTGAAACAGCTGCAGGCATTCTTAGGTCTCGGGTCGTACCTGCACAAGTTCATTTCAAACTTCGCATCGACAGCAGCTCCATTCACCAATATGCTCAAGAAAGCTTAGATTTTTGCATGGTGCCCTCCACAGGATACCACCTTTCAAGCTCTAAAGCACCGTCTGACACAACGCCCTGTCTTGAGTCACTTTCAGGATACGTGGGACACTGAGGTTCACATGGACACGAGTCAGGTTGGTCTAGGAGCGGTCCTCGTTCAGCGCGACCCAGACAATGTAGAGCATGTCGTAGCTTACGCCAGCCGCAAGCTATCAGATACGAAACACCATTGCCACTCGAATGAACCTGGCTGTGGTCTGGAGCGTGGACGAGAGGTTCTGTCGCTACTTGTTCGGCCGCAAGTTCACGGTGGTGACAGACCACAACGCAATTGCGTGGATCTTTGCCAAGCAACACCTTAAGCACAAGTTCGCCCGCTAGATCATGCAACTGCAAGACAGCGTCTCTGATGTGAAGCATCGAGCAGGGGAGCTTAACTAGGTTGCCGATGCACTGCAAGGTAACCCATGCGAGGAAAGCTCACCCTAAGTCAAAGAAGGCTGGATATGGTTTTCACAGCAGCATGTTTCGAACTCACATTGTTACGATAGAGACCTGGCAGAAATAATAACGTCTCTCGAAGAAAACATGCTGAGTAGTTCAGATTTTGTCCTCCACGAAAAAAAACTGTATAGACGCAATTGGACCAGTAACCAAGAAGAACACCACCTTTTAGTGCTTCCATCGACCATGCATTGTGAAATCCTGCACGCCATTCATGATGCCCCAAAGGGCAGTCACATAGGCTGGCAAGCTACTCTTCGGAAGCTTCAGGAACGTTTTTGGTGGCCGAGAATGGAGAGAAGCGTTTAATCGTATGCCGCAAGCTGCGAGGTGTGCCAAAAGCATAGGCGTCGCCCTGGTTGCCAGCCAGGACTACTCACGCCTATTCTACTCCCTGATAGTATTTTCAACACCATCTGGATTTATCACGTCGATCCATTGCCAACTACAGCCGCAGGGAACTGGTAAATCGTAGTCGCAGTGGACCACCTGTCAAAGTTTGTGGAAGTTGCTGCTGTGGCATCTCTTGCAACTTTCTTCATGATCAAAGTTCTTCAGGACCATTTTGGATGGGAAACACGGCCTACCAAAAAAAGATCATTTCAAACAGAGAAACAAGGTACCAAAGTCGTGAACTCCAATCATACCTCCGACAGGCTGGTGTCGAACATCATTTCACATAACATGTTTTCGGAGTGCTTCGTTATGCATGCACCACGTGTGTTTTGTGACCAGCCTTGTGCTTGCCAACTGCTTTGCACAGGCCTGCTTTTCTCTTGTGAAAGCCAGCAATACAGACGATGGCCATACTTTCAGTGATTTATAGACGGTAGTGATGGAATTGCTGGCAGAGAAGTGAAAGCTAACTCAAAACTTATTGCCTTCGGCTGATGCTGCTGTTCCTGTTGTGAACCCCGCTATGGATGCAAGCAGTGTTCTCGGTAGCCTCGATGAAGACGAAGTGCCGATAGCAAAAAAACGTGTTGAATGTCAACTATGGTGCAGACTTTGAGAGTACCTCTGCCTGCTGCAGAATAAAGCAGAATGTATGGTGGCCCTCATACAATGTGCCAGCAAATAACAGAGATTGCTCGCGCGTGACAAAAAACACAAGGCAGACAAAGCTGACTGCCTCTTTTTGCATGTTACAGTCAATTCTCAATATATCAAACACGGATATATCAAATTATTGCCTATATCGAACGGTTCCTATATCACGCGGGAAATCGCATGCATTATTGATTTTTTATTTCGAACAAAGTTTGACATATAATGGATATATCGAATTCAGCCACCCCAAACCGCCCGCGCTCCATTGACAGGTGGCGAGCTTTCCCGCAACTCTCGAAAGTAGCGGTAGATCGGCGGGCATTTACGAATGCTGCACACATGGATGGCGCCAAGAGCGCCACTTTAACGTAGCGGCGTACGGGCGCCGCAGCCTTGCGGTAGAGGTTCTTGAATGAGGAAAGTGAACAGAAAAGCGTGGAGCTATTATTGTCTTTCAATACGAAGGCACCGACACGGCTTTGCGCAGGGGAAGTGGGAGTGGGAGGTAAAGATTGAGGAAGAAATTATAGGAGGGAAAGGACGCAGACGACTGTCTCGGACGCGGCCCGCGCTGCCGCCGGGAAAGGAAAAGCAGTCAGGCGAGCCGGCATGGGAGCGCCATGAGCGCGCTTTACACCCGGACTGACGCCGCAGCTTTGCAGCTTGCAGTCTCTATGGTGACAACAGCACACTGCGCACTTGTTGCAAGCTCCTCCCCCGTAGCATCGGCAGGCATCGGTCGTTGTGCTCGCAGTGTCGTGCGTTTGGAGTTAGGCCTGTCGCGCGCTGTGGTGCGCGACAGGCCTAACTCCAAACGGCGGAGCTCACGGATGTGGAGATTGTTGCCGAAGCTACTGCTGAGCAGCCAAATGAAGACTCTGCCGAGGTGAATCCCGCAAGCGCTGATGGTGCCCCGCTACCAACATCAGCTGAGGTCGTAGCTGCCTTGGCCCTTGTGCGCCGCCACTGCGGCGCGATTGAAGGCACCGGCCTATCACTCATGGACCGCCTGGACTATATTGAGGACGCAGTCGTCAAACACGCCATGGCCAACAAAAAGCAGGCTACTCTTTTTCAATATTTTAAACCAACACAATGAATACTATGTTTGAATCTTCAAGTGAGTATTTACTGCACCACGCTTGAACGGTTCGTTGGTTGTTTTCAGCAAGCTGTTGACGCATTTTTTTCGTGATTTTTTTATATAGAATTCTGGATATATCGAACTATTTCGCGATTGCCGCGCCGTTCGATATATTGAGGTTCGACTGTATTTTCAAGAAACTCCCAGTGGAGAATCAAAATTTTTTCAAATACAATCACTGAACGTTCATAAAAAATAAAAATTTAGAAAATTTGAATATATTCCCCAGACTCGTAAAGATTCCAGGACATTCGATTTCAACTTTGAAGTTCGAGCCTTTCACGAACCTGCTTAAACCATGAATTATTATTGCAGCGCACTACTGTGTACCACTGTAATCAAACAAAACTTGAGAATGGTGCCCATGCAGTGATTACCATGCTCTTAACAAGACCGCTGTTTCATACCCACACCCCGAATTTTCATATCAAGTATTTCAAGTCAGCGATACACATCTGAACCACTTTCAGCAGCGTCGACCTATTGAAAGCCTACCACTATACTGTACACTTAAGTTGTCCTAAGACTGCCATTATAACACCCTCCAGCCTGTTAAAATTTCTCCACATGCCGTTTGGTCTTTGACACAAAGTAAATCTCTAACTTTACTAGCTTTGTTATACTGAAGCCTAACTTGGAATGTTCACTATTTGTTCCACCTCCGTTCTGGATTCATTTCACTTGCTTGCGTTTCTAAAACAATCAGTCAGCAAACCAGAATATGTATCATTCGGTAACATACCAACATACATACAATGAATACACACCAGCGGGATATGTCCTAAATATGGAGTCGATGATGTCAGCTGTGAGGTTGTACTTGAGGCCTTCTGTACCATCTGTCTGCGGCTGCACATCAACCAAGAATGCTGCCGAAACTCCGACAGGCTGAGCCGAAGGGGACGCCTGAGTGCTTCCAGTCTTCTTCTGTGGACAAGAAAGACATGTTAAGGCCAAGCCCACTAATCCAATAAGACTGACATATTATATAAAGCAATGTAAGATCGCATCACAATGATAAGGGCTGTGTTCCAATTCTTAGACCGCATCGTAGACAGTCTAAGCTAGCTGCTCAGAAGACAGCATCGCACCTATGTTGTCCGAGAAATAAAACACGCCTGGAGGGCTTCTACGCCATGAGATGCCACCTCGCGTCAAGAAGAGAAAGTTAAGATGAACAAAGGTAACTATTTTTTTAGCTCATTTGGTGTTAAAATCTAAAAAAAATTGAACGTTACTCACACAGCGATGGGAATGCCTTCCCGCATTTCGGAGCAGCCATTGGAGCAGGTGAAATCTGCTTTTGGAGCAGCTACCTCTGTGTTTGGAGCACGGACGGGCTTTCCATGACACACACAGAGGAAGAAAATTTAGCTTTAATTTAGTTTAATGCTCCTATATTTACATAATTGTTTATGCATGCAGAAGCAGCAAGCCCGCAAAATAAGCACAAAAACTAAACAACAAAAGTAGGATTATGTATAGAAGCTGTGACACAACATAGCAAAGGATTTTGAGAACATATTTTTTACCTTGGTCGGCATTGTGTAAATTATGTCCACAGCGAAGGATATTGCACGAAGCTAGCTGCAGCATGAGTGCACAGAGGAATGTGCACACACAAGCACTCAAAATTCAATTGTTACAGTAAAACATTGTTAATATATACATATAAACCAAGAACCTGCCGGGAACGCAGCTAATTATGCACTAACTGTAGTATGCATTAACCACCAAGTGTAGAAGCATGAGCAGGATGAGGGGCAAAGGTTGGTTGGGCAAAAGATGGCAGCGATGGGCAAAAGATGGCAAACCAAAGGTTGGTTGGGCAAAAGATGGCAGCGATCGGGACTTCAGGGCTCTCAGGTAGTCACCGGCTATTAAAAGTGTGCACTAGGCCTAAAGCGGCGCTACGCCACACACGAAGGTAGGCAGCCTTTATACACGAGGTGGCACGCACATGAAGGCTTCCTACACGTAGGCATTTTGTCGGCCATAAGTCATACCGGCGCGCTTTTTGGTAGTCACCGCATCGCCTTAGTTCTTTGTCACTGGTTACCAGAAAAGGCACCGCAGCAATCGCACGGAAGTAGGAATAATTGATTCACGAATTCCGTGTTCTTGCAGCAGCGCACGTGTAAAAGATGGTGACCATCACGCAATATCCATTCAAGATACGTGCTGCCAACATTACTAGTTGGCACAGCAATGGCGCCAATTAGACAAAAAAGACCCTTTTAGAGCAGTATAACACAGTAACTTACAGTTCGCGTAGGTTGGCGCAATTGGCACAAGTTTCCCACCACTGCTCACATTGGGTGTCTGGAGAAGCATCTGCTTATGTGCAGACGACTATTCCAGCGAGATCTGAGCTATCCGAGCAATTCCCTGAGTCGCCACTTTGTTTGGACAGCAAAGTAGCCTGCATCGTATTTGTCTCCGATGCTGTCTTCACTAAGCTGTCTATTTTACCAGTTATGTAAGAATCGGAATGCGACTTAAATGGCAGCCGTTCATTCAGCTGTCTATTTAGCCGTCTATGGTGAGTATTGTAACACGCCCAAGTGTCACAAACGAGCGCGCACCGCCGAATTCTAGCGACAGTAACGATACCAAGCGCTCAAGGACGCCTCAAGGACAACAATAAAGAAGAAAACAAGCACCCAAAAACTCCCCGGGTGCGCCGCCCCCCCCCCCCCCCCCCCCCCCCCCCCCCCCGAAGCATAGTCTCTCCGATCAACCTCCTCACATCGGCGGCCAAGCAAGCCCTGGAAGGTTCTCGAAGGAAAGGGGCGTGGTGATGCAGAGTTGCATCACGTGTCGCGGACGGCCCTTGAAATGTCTCAGTCTTTCTAAGCCTTGGCTGTGCATCGCGCCGACGAAACGATGAGAATTTTCTGGAATCTAGCGCGAACGGTATTTAAGCGAGCAGCAGAGAAGGGAGATCAGGAGAAGGACTGTTGCACCAGTGTGCGTAGGATCTTTCCGCCGTGTGGGCGAAGCCTTTCGTCCTCAGTGACAAAGGAGGAGAAGAAAGTTTGCGCCAGAGTGCGTAGTGTGTTCCGCCTTGTAGGCGAAGGCTTGTGTCCTCAGTGACAAAGCAGGTAATGAAGAGGATTTCCACCTGAGGGGTGAAGACTCGTGCTACAAGCAGAAGAGTGTGTCTACCGCCAGCGAGCGAAGACGCGTTGCAACAGCTGCGTGTGGGAAGCCGACGTGTTACTGGCGAAGAAGTTTGGTGCTTGGAGAGCGGCCAATTGAAGACGAGAGGTTTCCTGGAGGAGAAACTTCCGGGGCAGCGGAACGACAACAGCACTGGACTTTGAGTGATTCTCCGAAGAGTATCATTCAGACTTTTGTTCCAAGGACTTTGGACTGAATAAGTTTTCGAACTCTTTAGTCTTTAAGTGTCTTGGTTGTTCGATGCATGTGATTGCATTGTAGTGCGTACTGTTTGTGTCCGTTGTTTCGAGTGTAGCTGATTGTACTGTGTAGTACGTTGTTTGATTGATGACATATTGTCGCGGGTTATAAATGACAGGGGGTTTATTTAAAAACACGGACAGTAGGACTTGTAGAGACGCTCTCAGATAAGGCCGCTAAGATTGTCGTCTTCTTCACTCTGCTGCGCTGCGCCTCTCGAGCAAATCCGCATTCTTCGTTGTCGTCGCTATCTCGCCGCTAAATGCAGCTATGCACGCGGCATTACCCTCCCGCTAGAGTGAGCGTCGTCCCGACGCTCAACAGGTAGAGATGCGGCCATCGAGAGTTTACATCACTGAGAGTGGTAAAGTTTCATGCGGACCACGTGCACTGTTTCAGGCAGATGCTGGCGACGTTTTGAACAGGAGGAGGCGTCGGGCACGACTTCGTACGTCACGTCGCTAAGACGACGCAGAACCTTGTAGGGTCCGAAGTATCGGCGTAGAAGTTTCTCTGAGAGGCCTCGTCGTCGTACAGGAAACCAAACCCAGACTCTATCTCCTGGTTGATAAATGACGAATCGATGGCGAAGGTTGTACCGTTGGGCGTCAAGTTGCTGCTGGTTCATTATTCTGACGCGGGCAAGCTGCCTTGCTTCTTCAGCGCGCTCAGTGAAGCCTGCGGCGTCTGTCTCTGAATCATTGCAATCGTAAGGCAGCATGGCGTCAAGCATTGTCGTAACTTCTCTGCCATGAATTAGTGCGAACAGCGTCATTTTTGTAGTTTCCTGGCGCGCCGTATTATACGCGAATGTGATGTACGGCAATATTCGGTCCCAATTCTTGTGTTCTACGTCGACGTACATGCAAAGCATGTCAGCGATTGTCTTGTTAAGTCTTTCTGTAAGCCCATTAGTTTGTGGGTGGTAAGCTGTCGTCTTCCTATGCGCTGTGCCACTGAGCGTAAGCACAGTGCGCAAAAGCTCGGCTGTAAACCCGGTACCTTTGTCTGTTATGCAACAGCTGGAGCACCATGTCTCAGAACAATGTTCTCAATGAAGAACTGAGCCGCTCCAGCTGCAGTGCCACTCGCGATTGCCTTGGTCTCCGCGTATCAGCTGAGGTAGTCCGTCGCCACTATAACCCATTTGTTGCCGCTGTCCGATGTTGGGAATGGGCCCAGCAGATCCATTCGGATTTGAGAAAACTGGGTTTCTGGCACGGGCACAGGATGTAATAGCCCAGCGGGTTTGACAGGTGGTACCTTGTGCCGCTGACAGTCAATGCATGTTCGGACGTAATGTTTAACCTCTGCTGCGATTCTTGGCCAGTAATATTTTTCTTTGATGCGTGTCAGTGTTCTTGTGAAACCGAGGTGGCCCGCAGTGGCTTCGTCATGGCAGGCTTGTAAAATTTCGCTGCGGAGAGCTCCAGGAACTACCAGCAGATAGCTTCTACCTGTTGATGAAAAGTTCTTTTTGTACAGAATTCCGTCCCGTAAACAGAATGACGATAAGTTCTTCGAAAACACTCTTGGTGCATTGGCGGCTCGTCCGTTCAAGAATTCTATAAGCGAGTTGAGCTCCCGATCATCTTGTTGTTGCCGAGAAATGATAGCTGCATCAACAACTCCTAAAAAACCTGGGAAATCATCATCCTCTATAGACGGTGATTCAATCGGTGACCTTGACAAACAGTCGGTGTCTAAGTGTTGCCTTTCGGACTTGTACACTACGGCCATGTCGTACTCTTGGAGTCGTAAGCTCCATCGTGCTAAACGTCCAGATGGGTCTTTCATGTTGGTCAACCAACAAAGAGAGTGATGGTCGCTTACGACTTGGAAAGCGCGGCCATATAAGTACGGGCGGAACTTCGCAACTGCCCAAACGACGGCCAGACACTCCTTCTCCATTGTTGAGTTGTTGGACTCTGCACGTGTCAACGTTCTGCTAGCGTAGGCAACCACTCTCTCCACACCATCTTGGCATTGGACAAGAACAGCACCTAGGCCCACATTGCTGGCGTCTGTATGGATGGCTGTTGGTGCATTCTCGTCGAAGCGAGCGAGGACAGGTGGAGTTTGTAGACGCTGTCGCAGCTCTTTGAATGAAGCTTCTTGCTCTTCACCCCATACAAATGCGATGTCTTCCCTTGTAAGGCGGGTGAGTGGAGAGGCGATGTGTGCAAAGCCTGCTATAAATCGCCGGTAGTAGGTGCAGAGACCCAGAAAACGCCTGACCGCTTTCTTATCAACAGGAACAGGCCTTGCGAACTTTGCGACGGCTGCTGTTTTATCTGGGTCAGGCTTCACACCTTCGTGACTGATCACGTGTCCCAGGCACTGGAGTTCTTCGAAGCCGAAGTGGCATTTTTCCGGTTTGAGTGTGAGTCCAGCGGACCGTATGGCTTGAAGGACTGACAGTAGCCGCTTTAGATGCTCTTCAAACGTGGCCGAAAAAACGATCACGTCGTCGAGGTACACAAGGCATGTTTTCCATTTCAGGC